TACAATAAGTGCATGACTGAATAGTACAATAAGTGCATGACTGAATAGAACAATAAGTGCATGACTGATAGTACAATAAGTGCATGACTGAATAGTACAATAAGTGCATGACTGAATAGTACAATAAGTGCATGACTGAATAGTACAATAAGTGCATGACTGAATAGTACAATAAGTGCATGACTGAATAGAACAATAAGTGCATGACTGAATAGTACAATAAGTGCATGACTGAATAGTACAATAAGTGCATGACTGAATAGAACAATAAGTGCATGACTGAATAGTACAATAAGTGCATGACTGAATAGTACAATAAGTGCATGACTGAATAGTACAATAAGTGCATGACTGAATAGTACAATAAGCTAACACAAAATATACACTATTTACTCTAAGTAAAGAGAGAGAGAGAGAAACAGAGAAAGTGTGGGAGGAGGGATAGGGAAGCCAAGAAGATAGCACACCAAGAGGCCTTGAAGAATGCTTCTTAGCATTCATGTAAGAGGAGCTAGAGATAACAAAGGAAGGAATTAATCAAGAGGCCGTGTGGAGTTCAAGAAGACAGCTAAATAGTCTTAGTCTGCCGGACGTTTACGCAGGAGCGAGTCACACTGGAAACGAGTTTACATAACCTTGTATAACACACACACAACAGCCTCTCTCTTTCGTTATTTTTGTTCTCTCTCTCTTTCTCTCTCTCTCTCTCTCTCTCTCTCTCTCTCTCTCTCTGCTATTTCTCTAACATTTATTCTTCAAACATTTCCATATCATTTGCAAGACAAGGAAGGCGGGCACAATAACCAGGACACGAGAATGTATCTTGCTTAATACGCCGGTGTTTACATTCTCTCAGGCTGTCGGCCCGCCATCTGTTGGCCACTTTCCTCACTACATGTGTAAACAAACGCATCGGGATGTCAACACAGGAGAAGGGACGCTTGCACGGTCGTGAAGATTCCTCGTGAAGGCTTCTTAATGTGGCGAGGAAGAGTCCTACAAGCAAGGGGGAGATTAAAGGGTCAAGTGGGAGGGCGTAGCCAACGCGGGAGTGTCAAGTTGGTGGGCGTAGTCAACGTGGGAGTGTCAAGCGGATAGGGGTAGTCAAAGGGTGTCAAGTGGGTAGGCGAAGTGAATGAGAGAGGACGAGAACCAGGGGAAGTAATGTGAATGTGGGTGACAGATCTGTAAGTGTAGCAAGGTGTGGCAAGAGAGAGAGAGAGAGAGAGAGAGAGAGAGAGAGAGAGAGAGAGAGAGAGAGAGAGAGAGAGAGAGAGAGAGAGAGAGAGAGAGAGAGAGAGAGAGAGGTTCACAAGTATGTGAAGTTGTGGTGTGTGATGGAATCAACAATTGATGACACCATTATAGAATTGAGACGCAAAATAAGAATATTGTATTAGCAACATTTTACCGGCATTCTAAGATGAGTTGGCGGGTTGACAGCCCAAGACGGGGAGCAGCAAAGCAAACATCAACAACGAGATATCATTAGTGGTTTGCTTGGCGAATTAACAACGAGAAATTCTTGTGTTACAAACCAGTAATCCAGGCGCCGACCGGGCTGAGCCCCCCCAGTACCCGGTTGTGTCAAGAACTGGAAGATGAGACCTCAACACACGCTGGAACAACACCTGGAGCTTTGTTTTGCTTCCAGAAAAAAATCTAGCTTCTCAATATTAGCTGGAAGGGAGAATATTCCTCCAAGTATTTCTCACTCCTTTCTTCTCCTCTCGAGAGAAAGGGATATCTCTCTTATTTCCCCAGCAACTGTCTTCCAATCTTCGCCAACTCTTTCCAGACCCAAACCTTAATCACGTTCACAGACCTTCGATAGGTCTCCCACAACCTTTTATCAGGTTCTTTGCTTATTCCGTCAAATATCTCAGCGCCGTCGTTAGGTTCCTGCTGGTTCTTACAAATTCCCTCATTTCCTCCAGGGAAAAGTTATTCACCAAAACAGAAACTTTACATTTAGATAATTTAAATTTGGTATAAAATCGTATCGTATTATTATTATTATTATGTATATTTTCCACAGTTGACCTCTGTCTCCTTCTCTCTCTCTTTTCCTCCCCCTGACTCTCCTCCTCCTCCTCCTCCTCCTCTTCCTCCTCCACCTCTTCCTCCACCTCCTAGGACTCCTTCCACCTCCTAGTATGGACTCACCATCATGACTACTATTAGCAAAGATTGATAATATTCATATCTTCCTGCCAGTCGACTTGTGGTTCGGCTTCAGTAACTTGGCTTCGTATAAAAGGCCTTAAACGTCCTCTTTGCTATTTTTGGCTAACATATTACTAGCCCTTAAGATTCATCTATTTATATTTCAGACAAACTACATGCCTCCTGGTTTGCTAATAGCATTCACTGTTTTCTTCACATGCTTCCTGGTTTGCTACTAGCCAATGCCAGAGTTAGACTTTGCTACTGGCTTCTGAGTTAAAATTCGCTACTAGATTTAGAGTTAGAGTTTCCTACTAGTTTGTATATTCCTTGATACTATCCTGGTTTGCTATTAAATCTGATCCCACTGCTCGTTAGCATCCTCGTTTGCTTCCAGATGTTACAATCCACATACCAATATTCCTGGCTAGCTACTAGGCCTAGTCAGTTTCCTGTTTACCTGCCTGGCTAGTTACTAGGTCTTTTTCAACTTCCTTTTATCTCTACCTGGTTTACGTGTCTCCCTGGTGTCTTCATTGCTATCTTCTAAGTCTCTTAACGGCTGTTGGGACCTTCCTGCCTTGTGAGTTGCTCTAGTCACCTTCCTGGCTTGCTAGTTGCTCTTGTCATCTCACTGGCTTGGTAGTTGCTCCTGTCACCTCACTGGCTTGCTAGATGCTTTAGTCATCTTACTGGCTTGTTAGTTGCTCTTGTCATCTCACTGGCTTGGTAGTTGCTCCTGTCACCTCACTGGCTTGCTAGATGCTTTAGTCATCTTACTGGCTTGCTAGTTGCTCTTGTCATCTCACTGGCTTGTTAGTTGCTCTTGTCATCTCACTGGCTTGCTAGTTGTTCCTGTCACCTCACTGGCTTGATAGTTGCACTTGTCACCTCATTGGCATGCTAGTTACTCTTGTCTTTCTCATTGTCTCCGTGGCTGGTCTCCGGGCATTATATTGAATAAACCTTCCTTGCTAGTTCTCATCGTATTGAACGTCTAATAAAGAACTTTGTGGAGAGAGAGAGAGAGAGAGAGAGAGAGAGAGAGAGAGAGAGAGAGAGAGAGAGAGAGAGAGAGAGAGAGAAGCTTTATCAAGTAAACAGAATGTATAAACATTTATCATACTGTGATAGACCAGGAGGGAAACATGTCCCTCCCTCCCGCGGCTTCTTCCAGGCATCGTCCATTCAATACCCCCATCAGTGGTGCAGCGGCCGACGCGGCGCTGGCGAAGATTAATGGTTCCCGTGAGGCTGCTTCCTCACTAGTCCCTTGGAAGCTCTCCATCAGTTGGTGTTGGAGGGTCCTGTTGATGCTCTCTCCTGCAGCTGGTGTTGGAGGATCCCGTTGAAGTTCTCCACCAGCTCGTGTTGGGGGACCTCCATAGAAGCTCTCCTGCTGCTGGTGTTGGAGAGATACCATATTTAAGTGAGTGTATCACAAAGGAAGACGAAGGAATCTTTCCCCCGGAGCAGAGTCAGCGATGTCAATTGCTCTGAATCACCGATCTCGACGCCTTGTAAAAATCGAGTTAGCGATGTCAACGTTCTACTGAAACCCAGTCAACGCTCCCGAAGAACCAAGCCAGCGACCTCAACACTATGATCCACATCAGCGATCTCAATGCTCTGTATAAACCGAGCCAACGTTCGTAATGCTCTCCAAGAACCAAGCCAGCGACCTGAATACTCTAAAAAACCGAGCCAGCGATCTCAATGCTCCCTATAAACCAAGCCAGCGACCGCAATGCTCTGTGTATACCAAGCCAGCGATCTCAATGCTCTGTATATACTAAGCCAGCGATCTCAATGCTCTGTATATACTAAGCCAGCGATCACAATGCTCTGTATATACTAAGCCAGCGATCTCAATGCTCTGTGTATACCAAGCCAGCGATCTCAATGCTTCCTATGAACCAAGCCAGCGACCTGAATACTCTAAAAAACCGAGCCAGCGATCTCAATGCTTCCTATGAACCAAGCCAGCAACCTCAATACTATGAGAAAGCCAGCGAGCTCTTATTTGTATTATCCTGAGATGATTTTGGGGCTTAGCGTCCCCGCGGCCCGGTCCTTGACCAGACCTCCTTTTAGTAACACACCCTCAGGAAGCAGCCCGTAGCAGCTGTCTAACTCCCAGGTCCCTATTTACTGCTAGGTAACACGGGGATCAGGGTGAAAGAAACATTTTGCCCATTTGTCTCTGCCTCCACCCGGGTATTCCGGGTATCGAACCCGGAATCTTAGGACTACGAATCCGAAGTGCTGTCCACCCAGCTGTCAGGCGCCCTTGCACCACAGGCATCGACCTCAACACTGCAAACAACCTACGTGCTCAACAAGCCACTCAACATCAAACACTAAATTGCCTTCTTCCACACACATTTCCAGAGACTTAACGTCTCTGCGCAAAGAACATTGTCAACCATTCAAATAAATAACTTATTCAGAAACAGGGACTACTACACTGATACACACACAAACCCCTTAATTTGCACTCACTATTTGAGAAGCCTCTATTACATAGGCTTTTATAGACCTCAAGCTTATTTAATCCTGAAAAAAGCATACATTTCCACGGCTTTCATTTTCCCTTAACATTACTCAATTTGTACGCAATTTTATCTTTTGCAATCAAAAGACATATACATGTATTAGACATATACGTATATGTATATGCCAGAATACATATACGTGTTTACAATTAGAGCTGATTTTTACAAAAAATTCAGATGGTTGTTATTTGTATAACCGAATATTACCTAACCAAATCTAACATATCTTAACCTTGCTTGATCCCTATCCAAACCTAAATAAATCTGGTCTAACCTGACCAGACCTCACAGAAGATGACGTTACTCACTCGCCATTGGTTCCGTTCCACAGGGTGCGTTGGGATCAGCTGGGCTCAGAGCGGAGGTTACGGCTATCTTCCTCCCGAAATTCCCTTCACTCACGATAGCTCCCGTCCTGGCAGTGTCACGGAAAGACCGTTCCCTCCACCCTCCCGCCCACCCACTCGGCCGCCCACTCGGCCGCCCACTCGCCCGCCCACCGGCCCACCCTCGCCGCCTCAAACGAGACCTCCATTCGACGTGAGTATAGGGCCGAAAAAACTGTCTCTGATGTGTGTGTGTGTGTTTAAAATCGTGCCATTTGCAATTCTTGTGTTGTTCGACTTTATTGTGTGATTGATGATCTTTTTACTTTACTTCCTCCTTACAGCCGCCTTCCCCTTCACCTTTTCCTCCATTCCCACCCATAACACCCCCTCGTCCTCCTACTCCAACTCGACCCCCTTATCAGCCCTCACCACAGCCTCCAACTCGACCCCCTTATCAGCCTTCACCACAACCTCCAACTCGGCCCCCAACTCGGCCCCCAACTCGGCCCCCAACACAACCTCCAACTCGACCCCCTTATCAGCCCTCACCACAACCTCCAACTCGACCCCCAACTCGACCTCCTTATCAGCCCTCACCACAGCCTCCAACTCGACCCCCAACTCGACCCCCTTATCAGCCCTCACCACAACCTCCAACTCGGCCCCCAACTCGACCTCCTTATCAACCCTCACCACAGCCTTCACCACAACCTCCAACTCGACCCCCTTATCAGCCCTCACCACAACCTCCAACTCGACCCCCTTATCAGCCCTCACCACAACCCTCACCACAACCTCCAACTCGACCTCCTTATCAGCCCTCACCACAGCCTCCACCTCGACCCCCAACTCGGCCCCCAACTCGACCCCCTACTCGGCCCCCTACACAACCTCCAACTCGACCCCCAACCAGGCCCCCAGTTCAGCCTCCTACAGGTCCATCCCAACCTCCAATCCGTCCACCTACTACGCCTCCCCACGACGACCACCACCACCACGACGACCACCACCACCACCACCACCACAGCAGCGACCCCCTGGAGTGGCTGAGGGAGTCAGTGCCAGGAGAGCCAGGCGTGGACTACCCAATTCACGGCTGGCCCATTGTTGACACCAGCTTCTCCTGCGCCGGCCGACCTGACGGTAAGTGACGCAAACATTTGCGTCCACCATAGGACAGGTTAAAGGGGTCTTCTTTCGAGATCAAGCGTGTTGTGTACACAAATTAACACTGATAGCCAAGTGACCCAGAATGGGAATCTTTACTGAAATCACAGCCATTTTTAAAAGTGTTTCACCAGCAAAACCTTACAAATATCTGGATAATAGAAGAGTTCACCAGTGATTTCCAGTCTGGTTTAATACAACGCCTCTGGGGTCTTAAATGGATTGATTTTGCGGTGCCTTGAGGACCGGGCCGCGGGGACACTAAAAAGCCCCGAAATCATCTCAAGATAACCTCAAGATTATAACCAGCCTTAAGCAGAGGTTCCAAAGACTCTAATTAAAAGCCTTGGCTTGAGAAATACATGGTCAAAAAATATATTTATTTGTATTTCCTTTTACAACGGTCAAGTATCTGAGGTACTCAAGTCCGGCAACTCTCTCTCTGTCTCTCCCTCTCTCTCCAACGGCTTCAGACTTGAGAAGACTTGACTCGGCTTCTCAACACAAACATCAACATCCCACGCCAGTCAGGCCTTACAAACTGACCAATCACAGACACGATACCACCCACCCACCGGCCAATCACAACAGGATATCTCTCCACAGCCGGCAGACCTGCTGGCTTACTGACCACTCACAAGCCCGGTGCCTTCCCAATCTGTCCAGACTTGGGTAAATGACCAATCAAACAGCTTTTACGACTCGACTCGTTGCACAAGGTCGCCATTAACGCCAATCTTCTCACTGAATGAAGACCAGACCATAAAAATCAAAGTAACTGCATTTCAGAAGATAATGCCCCCCCAAAAAACTATATTCCCTGATCATATATACCATTAAGGGTGATTGCTGTCTGTAACCTTAACTTAAAGGTCATGCAGATGTTTTAAACCCGTATTTTCGAAGCGATTAATTATAAAATATGGATAATAATTAAGGGTAAATTTCCACAGCTGCAACTCGATACATCAATTAATTTACGCGAATTTTATAACCCTCTAAATGTGATCTTGTAACGAGACGCTATTGTGCTCTTTCGGGCCCCTTCTGCAAGTTCCTTTTTACTGTGTCTCTTACATTTATTCTATTTTCAATTTACAGTCATACGATGAAAGATTGTATCCTGTAGTCTCTTACGATGATCTTACAGTGTTCTTACTGTGTTTGTAACCTTAAGAAATCGATACGTGGTTAAAATACTCGACACATTGTCTGTGTGAAAATAAATGGTCTTAGAAGAAACTGATAAAGAACAAATGCGAACAAGGAGATTACTGTAGATCTATTGGCTCATATATGGCAGCTCGTATTTATATCCATCCTAATTCATTCATATTATGTCTAAACGTCGCTTGAAACAATCCAGCAATCCCATGTCTATCATGTTACCCAGTAATTTGTTCTTTTTTGTGTTTACGTAATAATTCGCAGACTTCGTCTACTTATGCAGTTCTCTCTTTTTTCTACCACTCTCTCCTACTTTTCACATTTTTATTCCACCCTTCATCTCTTCATCTACTACTTCTTCTTCCCTTTCATTACACTAAATTCTACTATTTCTTTCCTTATTTTCCCTTATTTTCCCTTTCTGTTCCTTTATAATTTTCTTCCGCCTCCTCCTCCTCCTCCTTTTGCTCCTTCTCCTTCCCACTACTCTCTCTCTCTCTCTCTCTGTCTCTCTCTCTCTCTCTCTTTCGCCTGCCCTGTCCACCACTGCTGATCTCAAACAATAAAACCCCTGCTGGACCGTGACGGGTCGAGACAGTCATCACCCGGCCCGTCCTCATCAACACTGACCAAATGCTCGCTAATCCATTCGCCACACCGCCTCTTTATGGCTGAAATACACTTTACACACGAACCACAGCTCATGTCGTTTGGACATTTATCGACCATTTCTTCATTTTCTTTCTGTACTCGAAGCACTTCCCTCTATACATGCTTCGCCTACGTACCGCAAATATAGACCATTTCCTACAGAATCTAGACACTTAGGCTATGCCTGATTATATATACATTTTAAGTATATAGTAATATCAATTTATGTGTATGGGTAAAACTGATTTTTAATACATAGTGTGTAAGCATTGATGAATGCGTTCTTGGGGTCTGCCGCTGGATGGACGAGTCTAATCCGAGGACAGATTGAAATACAAATAATTGTCAACAGAGCCTAAATACTAAACATAGGCCTAACAACACAACACTAATATATTATAATAATAACATTTACTTAGGTTTAAGATAAAAACGGGGTTTGAATACATAATAAGTTAATATTGCTGCGTTACCCCTCTGAGGTCGGCCGCCGCTTGCACGAGCTTAGCATGAGAACGGATGGAGTCAGCGCCGGAGCTCAGCTTGCGAGTGCCACGGTAAACCCGATTTGTATTCCCTCCTCATTATTCCTCCTGAGTTGGCAGTTTCTCTCACTCCCTTTCCTCGCCCAGATGAAGCCAAGGAGGTTCAGTAACGTCTTAGTTAATATATGGTTTTCCCCGTTGTTTCATCTCCGTTATATCAGTTGGGTTTGTTTACGTTGGCAAATTCCACCAGCTAATGCAGTGTGCGTTAGGGACAAGCATTAACAACTAGTAAGTTCCCAGCCTGCTGCTTGCTAGTGCTGGGTACAAGCCCAATTCACCCACCAGGGGCCCCGAGGCACTTGCCTGACTGGAAAGTCATACACAACACTTTTCCCAATGACTTTTGTATTTAATTTTGCCTATTTCTGTCTTTCAATAGTCTCACTTTCTCCCTCTTCGTCTGCGACTTTGTTGAATTTGATCATCATGGTAAATAACAGGAGCGTCATGATTTGTCGTGGCTGTTTGGTTTGGTCTTGGAAGGTCAGGCAGATACCTTCGGTTTGATCTCTGCGGAAAGATCTGGCAGATACCTTCTTGCGACCGCGTTGAAATCTCTTCACTTTCCCTTATATGTTAAATACAGCTTTCCCATTTTGGAGTGAATAAATGACTCGCAAAATTGTACATGCGTCGATGAGGAGACTCAGAGAGCTGAAGCTCAACCTTCCGTCTCTCCTGCATGTGCTACTAGGTGAGCACTGTCCTTCCTTCACCATCAGCACCTCTGTAGCAACATTGTCCTCTCTCCACCACCATCATCCCTCTCTCCACCACCATCATCCCTCTCTCCACCACCATCATCCCTCTCTCCACCACCATCATCCCTCTCTCCACCACCACCACTACTCAGGAACACCTTACTCATATCTCCGTGCTCCCCCCCCCCCTTCTCTCTCCCACCCCAATCTTCTCAACTACCATTATTCTCCACTTCCCCCCACAATAATCCTTCCCCTCCCCCACATCCCCCTCCCACATCATCCCCCATCCTCCCCCCCCCACCACACACTGCTATAGGCATGCCACTTGAAGGACCTGACCTTGAGGCAACCATCCTCATCCATCTCTTCTTGAAGGTGATATTATTGTTGTGCTTCACGTCGTTGCATTCTTTTCCGTCTCTTCCTTCTTCTTCTTCTTCTTCTTCTTATCACTGTCCTTTCTTTCGTTTCTTTCATCCTTTCACAGTTCGGTTCTCATATTTTTTTTTATAATTAAGTTTTGTGTTTTGTGTTTTTCTGTGTTATATGGTTTTAATTATTTCATAACTATTCTCTTTGCTCCTCTGGTTCTCTTTATTTCTCTAAGTCTCTCCTTTAAGTTTTTGTCTCTCAGTCTCTCCCAGTCGCTCTTTCAGTCGTTCTTTCCCGCTCCCTCTCTCTCGTATCGAGGTGTGCTAACATGTTTTAGTATGAATGAGTAATATCGCGCCTCTAAATCCCCTCTGGTGTGGCAGAGCAAATGTGTCTGCCTTCCTCCTTTCTTATGATTTAGTGACGAGGGTGGTCGCTGAGGCAGGCTGAGTTACCGGTCACTGAGGCAGGCTGAGTTACCGGTCACTGAGGCAGGCTGAGTTACCGGTCACTGAGGCAGGCTGAGTTACCGGTCACTGAGGCAGGCTGTGTTACCGGTCACTGAGGTAGGCTGAGTTACCGGTCACTGAGGCAGGCTGAGTTACCGGTCACTGAGGCAGGCTGAGTTACCGGTCACTGAGGCAGGCTGAGTTACCGGTCACTGAGGCAGGCTGTGTTACCGGTCACTGAGGCAGGCTGAGTTACCGGTCACTGAGGCAGGCTGTGTTACCGGTCACTGAGGCAGGCTGTGTTACCGGTCACTGAGGCAGGCTGAGTTACCGGTCACTGAGGCAGGCTGTGTTACCGGTCACTGAGGTAGGCTGAGTTACCGGTCACTGAGGCAGGCTGAGTTACCGGTCACTGAGGCAGGCTGTGTTACCGGTCACTGAGGCAGGCTGAGTTACCGGTCACTGAGGCAGGCTGTGTTACCGGTCGCTGAGGCAGGCTGAGTTACCGGTCGCTGAGGCAGGGAGTTACCGGTCACTGAGGCAGGCTGAGTTACCGGTCACTGAGGCAGGCTGAGTTACCGGTCACTGAGGCAGGCTGAGTTACCGGTCACTGAGGCAGGCTGAGTTACCGGTCACTGAGGCAGGCTGTGTTACCGGTCGCTGAGGCAGGCTGAGTTACCGGTCACTGAGGCAGGCTGAGTTACCGGTCACTGAGGCAGGCTGAGTTACCGGTCACTGAGGCAGGCTGAGTTACCGGTCACTGAGGCAGGCTGAGTTACCGGTCACTGAGGCAGGCTGAGTTACCGGTCACTGAGGCAGGCTGTGTTACCTCACTCACACATGTATTTCTTTCTTATGCTTCGCTGGCGAGGATGGCATCTCAGATAAGTTAAGTGAGGGGGAGAAACTTGGTTTTCAAATTTAAAGCCAAATTTTAAATTCTGGAATAGACACTTGACATGTCTTTTGGTGAAGGAGAAATGTGCGAACGGAGCTGGATAATATCTCTTTCCAAGACCAGGTAAGTACTGGAAAACAACTTCCAGTCAGTTTTCCCATGAAGCTGAAAACTTACAAGCCGTTCG